ATAAAATTCTAAGCAAGGGACCTTAGTTTTTTGGCTCTCGACCAATTCTTTTGAAACCTTGGTCTATTGGTGAGGACATTGGCAAAACAAATGAGTGTATTTATCCTTTTGGGTTCAATTACCTGCACTGAGGCTTAACCTATGCAATGCTAAAAGCATTAGCAAAATTTCTAGTGTTATTGGGCTGCCTATTACAACAGATAAGCTAACAGCAAATAAGCAACGTTTGTCATATGTTAGGGTCCTGGTGGAGGTAAAAATGCCCTCCCCTCTCCCTGATCAAATCACCATACAAGGCCCAAATGGGAACCAAAGTGAGAACCAATATAATTAGAAGGTGCTTTATGAATTCAAGCCTAGATGGTGCGATTTGTGTAAATTTATAGGGCATGATACAAATTATTGTAAAAAACATCCTAGGATTCAAAGATGGATTCCTAAGCAAAAAGATGTGCCTGACAATGTTGGAAAGGAAGGGACTCTTACTCAAATGAGTATTATGCATGATATTGATATTCCTAATTCTATTATTCAAAATTCTGTACATGAAGTGGAAACATTGCAATAGAAATTAGATATGGGGGAGGAAAATAACAATGCTGTTGAACACATGCTTGTGCATGTTGTGCATGCTCAACATGCTGAATATGGGGGTTTACAGGCTAAAGAAACATATCAGAAAAAAATCTGGATATAGCAGAAATGCTGGTTTTGGTTTTGTGCATGTTGAGCATGGCTAGCAGCCTGTGCCTGTGTATGTGAATTTCCAGGGAAGTGGACAACAAAACCCTGAGTATAAGGCTATGCAGGCTAAAGGAGCTACAACTTCCTAGCATAAATCTGGATATAGCAGAAATTCTATGTCTGTGCATGTTGTGCATGCCCAACAATCAAGTAATGGTGATAATAATAAAGGCTCCCCTCAAGCTAAAGGCTCTTGGTTTCAAGTTCAAAGAAGGATTCAAAAGAAAACTACTACACCCGTCAATTCATTCTCTCATCTGGATACTTTGGTTATTGATCCCTCTACAAGTGATAGAGGTGTAGGACTCTTGCTTATATACCAAGTGTAGGATCATGACCCTTAAGAAAAGAATGCGCTCTTATAAAGAATAAATTACTGAAGCTTTACACTTAAAACACTAAAGGGTGAGTTTGTAAAATGTGTTATAAGTTGTAAGAAAGAATGGTAACAATCTCAGAAAATAAACATCACAAACACAAGCATATATACTGGTTCCACCTCCCCGGTTGTCACGCCCCGCTTTCGAAAATACCCGGGAATCAGAATGTGAACAAGTCCGTGACATATTAGATTGAGAAGAAATATATACTATCGTTTTTTTTCTTTTCTTCTTAATCTAATACGCTAAGTGTCAAATACATAAATCTTAATCACAGGACCCCGATCACAATTGCAAGAATATAAAGACAATCCAGAATAAAAAATAAACATATCATCAAGTAGATCAGCCTAGACATAAAAATATAGGTCCAACGTACCCTTATTACAACAGTTCAACTAGCTAGGAATAAAAATACATAGTCCATAAATAAAAGAAAATACCGATAAAATAAATAAATCCATCATCAAACTAAAGAAATACTGTAAAAGAGTTCTAATGTTCATCAGCTACTACAGAAAGGAAAACATGTCTAGGCTTCAGTTTGTTCTTTCACTCCATCGGAAGGACACTCCGGTTGGGCATACACCGGCTCTGCTGCATCATCGAACTGAACCTGTTCATCCCCTAAGTCTGATGCACATCAGAGAAAATAGGTGTACGTCCGCGTGCATGGCACACAGCAAGATCTCACATGAACAAATAAAACGGTCTAACGACCCATGCTATGATAGTAATAATGCTAATAGGAATGACAATGATACATGTAACTGGAACTCTACTAAGTCAAAATGTAATCCTATACTAAGCATGATAACATACAGCTATATGCATATAATAATCGGGTAAAGTACTAGCCATCCTAAAACTCACTGGTCCACATCTCACACAGAGTCATCGCTCATATCATCGGATAGCTGACTGTTCATAAATCCCCTACGTGCATCCAATACCACTACACGAATCGGTCAGAGGACTACACGTAATCCGATTTCAGCCTGGTCCGAACTCAAGAAGAACTCCGGTGACTACACAAATTCACTGACTAAAGTGACTACACGAATTCACTATAGCCCAACAAACCAACCCAGTGACTACACGAATTCTCTGGCGCGAGCCTAGAAGATACATCAACAGTCATATTCGACCACATGAACAAGGACTTTCCCATCCCAACTCTTCTCGCTTTTCTAAGTCAACAATTATAATCCCTATTAAACTCAAGATCACCACCTAAACTCAGTCAACACACCCACACGTGTCACTAGGTCTGTTCATGATGCACAAGGCCACTAAGTCGTAAACTACTAATGTTCTCACTCACAACATGAGGTAATAAATAAAAATAATTATATACAATGATAACATGGCATGTCGAATATGATTAAGCAAGTTCATAAGGCATGAGTAATAACTGCAAATGAAATGCGGAATGCATGAACAGAGTCT